CCAGCACCACCTGGGGTGACAAGGAACAATGGTAATAAGCTGATGGAGAACAGGTTTAGGTTAGAGATAAGAAGGCAATATTTTACAGTTAGGTGGCCAGAATCTGAAACCAACTTCCCAGGGAAGTGGTCCTCACCCCTACCTTGGGCAAATTCAAGAGGAGGTTGGATGATCACCTGTCTGGGGTCTTGTGAACCCAGCATGCATTCCTGCCTGTGGCAGGGGGGCAGGCTAGATGATCTGTTCAGGTCCCTCCTGACCCTAGCTACTATGAAACCATCAGAGAGCCTTTTTTGGCTCAAGGCAGAGAGCATCTTGGAGATAGGCCTAGGAATTTTATTCAAATAGCAGTATAGACAGTAGAGGAGAGGTAAGATGCTAATCATAACCTGAAGCTCTCTGCTGTAACATTTTGTACCAGATGGAGTTTCCTAAGCATTTAGTGCTTCCTGGAACTTTAATGCTGTTCCCCACTACTGTGGGGTAATGTGCATAAATTGAAAGCGTCTTGTTGCTAGATAGATGTTAAACTTACTGATTCTGAGTCTTCTGGAATCTGCTGTTCATTGTCTGTTTTTATACTACTTCCAACAGTGGCTGCAGATGCAAGGAAATACTTTATTAGCTATATTTTACTAAAAGCTTAACCACTTGAATTCATTTGGCCTAAAATTTTCTTTTTGCTGTAGAAGGGAAGGGTAATAATCCTTGTTTCCATTATAAAAAGTTGTCCTATGCTTTTTAATTTAAAAGCATTATCACCTCTATGGTATTAACAACAAGTGTAGAATTTAACAAGGGGTATGGACAGTCCTAGAATTAGGGGGATACTGTCTTGGCTTCAGTTTTGTTAATTTCAACCAAATTTTAACTAAAATAAATTCCTACTTTCACATGTGGTTTGCATAGTACTGTTTTCACTTGTGTATCCTGCCAAAAGCTTCAGTGCTTTATTACACACTGCATGCACCAATGTCTGACATCTTTATTTCACACAGAGGTGAAGATACATCTTTAGCAAATGTCTCATGCCCCACTGAAAGATGAGCTGTATGTAGAACCCTGATCTTCAAAATGGCAGACAAACACCTCTGCCACATAGTCATGTCGGGTTTCAGAACATTGTGGCTTTACCGCTGAAAATATTGTTCTTTGGTTTTCATGTTTATTCTGCTAGTGGCTGCTTCTCAGAAGATAACACTGGATGTTATTAGTTAATGCATTTAGTCCTTAAATTCAAGTGGTTGTTTCTACTGTAGTGTTGAAGGCTTAGGGTTAAAACCTGTTGTAAAGGCGTGTGTAATTTATGGATGCCCATCACTGAATTTTTCTCATTCTTTTTAGAAAGGGAAGATGAGATTTTTTTTTTTTTAAACTGATTAAAGATTACAAAGCCATATACTGAAAGGTTAGGCATTGCCAGAATACAGGTCACACAATAAATAGCAGGAATGGAATAGGGGAAAGGCAGCTGGCAGGCAGAAGAGACTGGTATGTGCATTAAAATATCACTAAGTTTATGTTGAGTCCAGTATTTTGTCTGGCTTAAGCATGTAGGAAGAGAGGGAGTTTAAGTATACATAATTTTAATACTTTTCTCTCTGGCTAATACTCGAACAGTTTTGTTTTGGATTATATTCTATTCTCAATTCCTACACTATCTAAAATTGTTATTAATGATTAAGAGCTGAATTCCATATATTTGAATAATTCCATGAATGTGAAATTTTTTTCCTCACCCCGTCTACGAATATATGAATGATACTGGCAGATGCTACTACATCTTCTACTGCTCCTCCTCTTCACGCTGGCAGTAGTCCGAACAACTAGAAGTTTTGTTACTGCAGCTGTGCCTTGTACCTAAACAAAATTTTGCCAAAGCCAAAAGCTGTTATAGCTCATCACTACAGTGTTTCTATACAACCTACTTCACGTACCACACTTCTGTCTTATGGCAGCCTGTCCTCATGCTTTTCTTGGTACGTACTACTTCTAGTGCATTTTGGCATGCGTTTTGCACTCATCAGGTCTATGTAGTTGCTTGCTCTTCAGATTACCTGGCTCATTTTTGTAAGTGAGGTGATTCAGCATAAGTATTATCTAAAGTATTTCTCTCTGGGGTCTGTGTGATAGTTCCAGTTTTATATTCCCACTAGCCAATTGCCAGTCAAGAATGACAGGGGGAGGGGGGCACTGGGATGGAGTGCTGCCCCCTAACACCCCATGTTGCTGCCATTCTGCCTCTAGCAGGGAATGGGGTAGGGGAGCTGAGTCCAGTGCTGCTGGCCTTGGCTCCCCAACCCTCTGTCCAGTCCTCAGCATGGCTTCAGAATCATGGCGGCACTCCCCTATGCTTGGCACACTCTGATTGGCTGTTTCCATCAGCCAATAAGAGTGCGACTAAAGCATTATGGACAGACAGACTTAGGCGTTTTATAATTATTACCATATTTCCCCAAATCTAAGACAACTATGTATTTAAGGCAACCCCCAATCCATTCTATATATGGATGATTTTATAAATCTGTTATTTTCAAGGTACAGAATTTAATTATTGGATGGTTGCCTTGAAATCTGTCTTTCCCCTCCTTCCCACTCTCCCTGCCTCCACTTCTACAGCAGGGGGGACAGGTGGCTGGGGGGTGCTGGGCAGCCCCCTTGCCTTCTGCTCCCGTGCTCTCCTTCCGCCTCTTCTGATACCTACACCCCCTGTTCCTCCTCACTGACAGACATGGCTCTGGTCTCTTCCTGACTCATGGAGCACATGGAAGCATGGCCCCTGCCCAGCCATGCAGCAGCATCCCAGGTCAGAGCTGTGCTGCTGCTGATTGGCCAGGCAGGGGATGGACTGATGGAGGCATAGGCTGCAGAGGGCAGGCAGAGATGGAGGCAGGCAGTTGCTGTGGTTCTGACTTTGGCCCATACAGGGGTGAAGGGGGTGTCTTGGATTTGAATAAATACAGCAGCTGTAATAAAGCCATAAAAATGTTCAAATATTTTATGCACACAGACTTATAATGGCAGATAAATGTTGACTGGCATATCTCCATAAGCGTTAAACTCACATTATACAACTAAGCATTTAGGCTTGTAAACTTCTTGAACCCAATAGGTATCTTAAGCTTCCTAGGGTTTTTTCCCCTTATCTTGAACCCACCATGACTTTGAACCCCCTTCTCATCAGGCTTTCTTCATTTCCACTGTCTGGGTGCATGTCTCATTGTTTGTTTGGTTTCCTTGAGCTACATGCTCCCTAATTCCAGCTCTCCATACTCTCCAATTCCCTTTTTTATTTTCCTCTGTGCAAACTATTTAGAAACTGAAGGAAAAACTATAGACCTTAGTAGAACCACCAAACATTTGCTTGCAGGTTTTGTGAGCATCAAAAGTTCAAGCCGATGCAAAACCATGCAGAGTTTAAGGAAAAGGGGGGGAAGGCTGAGGAGTGATGGGAACCTACCTTTGAATAGTAAAATATATTTTATATAATTCTTTTAGACAGTTTTTAAATATTTTTGTAAAATAGTATACATTTATGTACATTAAATAGTATTTAAATAACTGTCTTTTTAGGCTTAATTTTAAATTTGCTTCTTAATTATATTCATAATGATACAGGGTAAAACTGCAAAAAGTCAGATGAAATACTGGAGCGCTACTCAAATGTAGTCTTACAAA